ATCAAATATGTTATTGGAACGTCATGGTCTTTAGGGTTCTGCAACGTCATGGTCTTTAGGGTTCTGCAATGTCATGGTTGCTATTATGGTAAATTTGTTAAATAGAATGTTAAAGGTGATCCTGTAGGTGCATTTTCGTTTCTTCTGGGACATAGCAAGTCTTCCTTATATTACATTTAAATGTTTCAGACTATGCAATGTAATCACGTGGTAATTTATGATTGTGACAAACTTGATGTCATTCAATAATAGTGTAGATATTCTGTATGGCAATCAAGATTGAGATTTCTATTTGGATAAATCCAACTTTTTTCTGTTGAATTTGTGTAACTAGTCTATAGATAATAGATTGATCATAGCTTTTGGTAAAATAAACATTTATACTACCTACATGCGCTGGTTATTTCAAGCTGATTGTATTTCGCATTTGTTCACCACCTGTCTTTTGAATGGGTTCTATTATAACATTTTAAGGGACAGTTCTACAGGGTTCAGGTTGGTGTACAATCACCAGAAGGTATTACAACTACAAGTGGGGTGTTAAGAAGATTTAATGATTTTCTGAAGTTATTTAGTGATGTAAGTACTGACTTTGGATTGTTTGTAAAATAGGTATTTACTTTATGTTAGAATGGTAGTTCATATGAAATGACAACTTGGTTATTCTCTAAGCACTACTTGAGGAAACGCATTGTTGAATTTTTTTTTCCCTTTGTTAAACTAATTAAAGGACATTCTTAATATTTTTTTTATTGGCTGTTGCTTGTAGCTTAAAAAGGCATTTCCCAAGAAAAATCTCCCACCAACTCCATCCAAGGGACTTCTGCGGATGAAGAGCCGGGAACTGTTGGAAGAGGTAGGTAATGTGTTCTTTACTTTATCAGTTTAACCATGAGTGTCGTTCGATGGAGGACAAGAAACTTACACTAGTGTAGTTCATATTCTTAACAGGGGATGATTACCCTTAACTGGAAAGTGTAATTTTCAACTGCAACCTTCAAACATGTGTGTACTTGTACATATCTAAAAGGGTGATTAATATTCTTAAGAAGTTTCAGTTTTGTTGCAGAGAAGGTGTTCGTTGGAGGCTTGGATGACAAAGCTGCTATCGGATATTGATATATCAAGAAGCGTTGCAGTGGCATCCTTTCTTGAACTAGAGTCTGCAGCTAGATCTTGTACGTGACTGTCTTGTGCATGAGTGCTGTGACACATCCCTTTTTTTTGTGTTACACAGATTCCTTTTATAGAGTTTTAATGTATCAGTTCCTTGTCATAATACATCTCAGCGTTCCAAGATGCAAGCCAAAACACGTCAGACTCGAGTTCACTTCAATCACCTTCCTATTCTACCTTACCTGCCATTGTAGGGAGTTCATCAATCACATCAGATTATGGAAGTGATACTGCTTATGAGACTTCTGAGCTAGGAACCCCAAGGCTAGGAAGGGATGACAGTTCTGAAATTGGTATCGAAGATCTGGTATTGGATGAAGATTTAACAAGCCCAATAGAAAAGCTTGTGAAGTATGGCATGACCAATATTGACGAGGGACTGTTTATGGGACAAACTATACTAGAGCAGTTGGAAGGCCTTCCTAAGCATAAAGTAAATGTGGGACATGTCAATAATGTTGTAGGGAAAAATACATATAATGGAAATGCTTCTAAATCTTCAATTCTAGCTTGTAATGGAATGGAACTTTTCTCTGAGCCAGAGCATAGTAAAGTATTCAACCATGCTCGCAAGCTCTCAAATGAAAGTGTGGGAAGTGATGCCAGTTCTCTAAGAGGTAGTGAAATGTCCAACTCTGGTGTTCCTAACTCATCTGGTGATGGTTCTCTTGACCTTCTTGGAGGTGCTGAGGTTTCAAGCATTATGGAAATGCTTGGCAACACAGAGTTACAACCTTCAGGTGGCACTCAACTAGTTCTCCCATTAGATCAGCGAAACAAATTAAACAGGGTTCTCTCGACCATGCAGCGAAGACTAGTCACAGCAAAAACAGACATGGAAGATCTTATATCTAGACTAAATCAAGAAATAGCAGTGAAAGATTACCTTGCAACAAAGGTATGTCAAATTAAATTAATCATGCTCTTCGTGATGTCAATTGCTGGAATTATTTTTGTTTGGGCTGGAGAACTATTTGATTGTATCTAATTTGATTATTTGTAACATGATTGAAAACGTACTTCATGTATAGATTACTTCGCCCTCACCTCCAGGGCCCAAACCCTGGCAGTTGCATTTCCGAGGCTTAATTGACAAAATATTTGTTTTTCCCACTCAGTGATGAAGAAAATTCACGAAATTGAATTGTATACTGAGTTTTTATGCTTGCTTTACATAGACCTAATTATGGATTGTTGCATAAAGAAATTGTTGATAAAAACTACTTTATATAAACCCGGTTATAAGTTGTTAAAAAAATTTTGTTGCTCCAATAGTTTGAAAAGATTAATTGGGATAAATTATGCATTGTAAATCTAATTGATTTTGGTGGAAGAATGATGAGCGCAATAGTTGTGACACTTATGAAGTTATAGATGTTGATAAAAGCCAGTTACAGTTTGTTGGCTGAAAGAATTGGCACACCATTTGGTTTCACAGAGGGAGTTCATAGACTAATTGATTGGATCACTACAGGTCAAGGATTTGGAAGTTGAACTTGAAACTACTAGACAAAAGAGTAAAGAGAACCTGCAGCAAGCTATTTTAATTGAGAGGGAAAGGTTTACCAAAATGCAGTGGGATATGGAGGAACTCCGGCGGAAGTCATTGGAAATGGAGTTGAAGTTGAAGTTGGAACAGGTTATTGTTCTTGAAGTTTGTCTTTTCTACTTTTATGTCTTTTCATTTTTTGGGGTCAGTCTGTGTCCATCCTTTTTATTATCTGGATAGTTATACGCTATATATTAAATGCTGCCAGGATAAGAAGTCAACAAAAGATTCATCTGGTCAAGAGAAAGAGATATTGCCGCAGGAGTTGGATCCGTACAAGGAGCAGCTTGAAAATTTGTCAAAGCGATATGAAGAGCTAGAAGCAAAATCTAAAGCAGATATTAAAGTTCTTGTTAAAGAAGTTAAATCCTTGCGCAGTTCTCAAGCAGGACTGAAACATGAACTTAGCAAATCGCTGACGGAGAAATCTGAAGCTGAGGTATTTTGTCATTAGTCCAAAAGTATTGTTGCATTCTACTTTCTCAAACTAGTTCTTCTTAGGGTGTTGGGTTAAATTGGTTCTGCTTTCTGTTATTGATCCAGATAATTGGTTTCCTTGTATTTGATTATAACTTCACTTATATTCCGCGATACACTGGAAGCTCTATGTTATGGTCCAAATACAGATGCGTTGATAGAACAATTTGGCACATTATCATCTTGCTTTCAGAAACAAATAAAAAATTTAGTTGATATGTAGCTGACTAGGCAGAGAGTAATGTATTAGTCAGGTTTGATGTTTTTCTTGTGTTCTTTTATTTTTCTATTTTGCAGAAGCTCCGCCAACAGGAAAAACAAACGAGTAAGCTTGCAGAAACTGCTAGAAAAAAATGGTTGCATGAATGCAAAGTTCTTCATAAGCAGCTTCAAGAATGCAATATCAATTTTCCTGTTGATGATTCTTCAATTCTACCAGAGGCTTCAGATTTGTTGGCTACTTCAGACAACCGTATTAGCCTCTTACTTTCAGAGGTACTTTCTATTTATTTCCCATTTTCTTTTGTTTGCCGACTTTTATTTTCTGGCATATGGTCACATTATTCAACCCTTCCACATTTTGGCCCATCTTCAAGAAATTAAAATTAAAGTTGTTTGTGCGAGAAACATAATATGCTGCACGTTCATATGTTTCTTGCTTCCACGATCAGTTGTAAACATCTTGTTACGTATGGATGGCGCCATTTATTAACCGTTAAATTCTACTTTTCCTAAAAGACTATATTTGAGGAGGTGCAATTCCATTTGAGTTTGAAGTAACTTTAAAGCATACTGATTTTTGGCTTACGCATTGTTCTCATTCTCGTAAACCGTCTGAAGTAACAAGTAACTTTGCAATAATTGATTAGGCACAACTCTTAGCTGAAGACAATGGAGCTACTGGTGAAGTTGACAACCTCGACGATGATACGAGGACAATAGACAATGAGTTGAGGAAGTTTCTGGCAGAATTTTTTTCTGAAAATGCTAGATTACGGAAACAGGTGAACTGTCTCATATGTCGTGCTCGCAAAACGGATATCTAATCTACAAAAGACGAGAGGTCCCTGAAGACAACCTTCACTGATGAGTAAGTAGGAAGATGCAAGGATGAATATTGTAAATTTTGTTTTTTTTTTTTTTTTTTTTCCTTTAAAAAGAAAAAAAGAAGAATCATTTAGCCACTCGCCCCATCTCTTTCATGTATTTCTCGTTACACGACGCTTCAAGCCTGTGGTTACACATATACAAGGTTCAAGAAAGTTTGTGCACTCTCTGCTTTACCACAATGTTGTAGAGATGTGAAAGGAAATTATTAGTGAAAAACATGTTTCTCTTTTGTTTTAGCTTAGAAATTTGAAAGTGGCTCTGCTCTTTTCCGTTGTATGCGCGTGTAAGCGAATCATGATTTTGCCATGGTTATTGTACTCAAGCTTTTCGGATGCAAGTCTGCAGGGACTTTCACCTTAAAACATTAACTCTACGATTTTGCTGCTTGTCTTGTGGTATTGCTGCCTTTTGCAATTGTTGTTGCAGCTTTTCTTTCATTTTCCTTGGTTGTATATAAATCGACATCCCAGGTTGCGATGTAAATTCTTCATCGATTTGTTAAAATATCCAACTTTAGGTATTCACGACATAAGTGAACGAACATGGGTGATGATTTTGACGCTCCAAAGATCACTTCCCGCACTCACTCTCATGCGTGAGAGCGAGTGCGGAAGGTTTTTCAAGGGGGAATCCTGAATAGTGATGGCACGCATCAGTTGAGGTCCATGTTTAGAGCCTCTTTGCTTATCAAAAGAAATGAGCATCAGAGATTTAAATTGAATAATTTGCCATAATGCGGCGTTGAAGGTTTTCCTGTTTTAAGAATAAATCGATCTCTCGAAAATAACATTCGTCCATGAATTTTGTTCGAAATGGCTAATGTTACATACCAATCCACACGAGACGCGGACGAGGGAATGACGAGCATTGAGCACCGGAACTCGGTCGCTCTAAACATTCACGGCCATTTGCTCAAGTGAAGCGCCGTTGTTTCTGCAGTCAGCCCAAGCAGAACTCGAACAGATCTGCATGAATGAAGACAAATTAAACTAACTTGGAGAACTTGTAGGAGACTAGCACACTTGATGACCTAGCGAATAATGTCTGAACAGTTAAGACAATGTTCGTACGGTCAAATTTCCCACGTGAAAAGGCATACTTCAGATCACAATCGAAGGCAAGATTCATTATATGCCACAGAAGGGAAAACACAGACAACGAAATTTGAATTGAAATTAAGGAGAATGGTGGAAGTACCAGCACTACCTCGTTATCTAACTCGCGTGGCTCCACAAGGATGTAGAGTGGCTTTCCATTAAGCCTGCACTGTCCCTGAAATGTCATAATCATCATTCATCAAGAGCAGCTCAACTGCACAGCACTTGAGATATCAAAAGACTTATGAGTGGCATGCACTCAATACACAAAGATGCTTTCGAATTTGAACTACCCTGAATTTTTAGGTCATGTTATGATGTTGGTCCCGAGAGTTTGGTACCTGTAGTTTTGTCTTTCGCAATTTTAGTCCCCTATTTATCAATGGTTGCAACTCAAGGACAATAATCTACCTTAACATTAGCCACTCGCGTAGGTCACTTGTCGAAAAACTGCAGCAATTACCATTGATAGGCCTACAACCGCGAAAATTGAAACTAGAGGTACCAAAGTGGAACTTCGGCCAAATTACATGGACTAGGATCGTAGTTTAGCGCAATTTTTAAGTTAATAAAATCGTAAACATTACCTTAACCTCAGGCAACCCAATAACGCATCCACATTCTACCACTTCAGCCCCAACACGTTCTAGAAGCACAGAAATTTGTTTTGGGATGATGTAAATTTCAAGTGTAGGGTAAACAAGCAGTTTAAGGGAGAAGATGAACAAGAAGTATCAAGGGCCTCAAGAGCAACCACGCACCTAAAAGTCTTATTGCTGCTGACAAGGTCCCACCGGTAGCTATCAGATCATCAATTACCAATGCACGTTCACCGGGCTGAACAGCACCAACGTGCATTTCCAGGCAATCAGTTCCGTACTCAAGCTCATACGCTTCTGAAATTACTTCTCCTAAATAAGCAGCATTGTTAAGTGAAGTTTAGCGTACGGGGAACATGAAAAATGAAAGGTACAAAATAGACGCTTCAGTGACAACCAAGACCTCACTCGCATACATCCCAATGTTGGAGTAAATTTTGCCTAAAACCGGTTGTATATCACACGATGAGAGAGATAGACACTGGTTGTATACTGTGGTAGGGAAGAAAAATAGCCAATGCGAACGTCACCCTAGTAAAAAGGCCTTATCCTAAATGAAACTAAGCACTAACAATAGATAAAAGCACATGGGGGAAAACAACAGCCTAATCTAATCTAATAGACCTTTCAAAGGCTCAAAGGACACCCACTTTATATAACTACATCAAAAGTTGATTAAGGAGGACTGAGGCATGATTAAAAAAGTAATTAGCTCCTGGACATCAACAAACTAAGCATTACACTAATTAAAATTAAGCATACCCGGCAACTTCCTAGGTTTACGTAAAGGGACAAACTTGGCACCAATTGCTAAAGCAATTGAAGGACCAAACATGAACCCTCTGGCTTCCACTCCTGCAGATTAATCATAAACAGAAGAAGTAAGAAAAGCAAACCACAAAAAAGAGTTTAATTATATAATAAAATTTCTAATCACTATTTGGTAAACTATATCACCAGCTTGAAAAGAACAGTGAATGAAGGCCAACAATTGAGACAGTCCAACATTCAAAACACCTTTTTTTAGCAATGCCTGTTCATCTGTCATGAGGGAAGCAAAATGTTGAAGAACTTCCACTCGGAGTTAACCATCTACATCAATAGCTAGCTTTCTTCACTTACGTAAAGCGCCGACAAGAATGCAAGGTTACAAGGAGCAAAAAGATATCTCTGTGAGAAATTAGTACTCTACCCTTAACTCAGGAAACTTACTCTGGTAGTAGTAACCGATACAAAAATGCTGCTCTTACCACATTTTTCATACAACATTAGGTACCGCCTCTCCAATACAGGTGGGACCTATCTCTATTTGAGAGGTGGTACAAATGTCGTAACTGCAGCATTAATCAAACCGAAATGATGATATCTGAAAGGATGATTTTCTAATTTGACCCCCTTTTGGTAATCAACAGGATGGTCACACAATCACCAGCAACAGAAATTTCTCAATTGTTTTAGGATACATTTGAGGTTAATAGTTTATGGATCGAAATAGACGAAAAAGAAAAAAAGCAGAATCTCAAGCAAATGAAAAAAAACATCCTGAACATCAGAAAGAATGCAACTACAAAAATGTTTGCGAAGTGGTCAACGAATCCTCTATGCGTCCAATCAACCAGAAAAATGCAGCAGTGTAGAAGAACGCAAATCGCTTATTATTGAAAACGTAACACAACACAGAATTGAGTTTTTTCTTCGTGAACTTCTGTTATGCACCGAATTATAAAGAAAAATGAAGTAATCTGCTCTGTTTTGAACTTGTGATCCCATTGCATTAGCCATTGATATAACTACCGAGGGAAATACATTGGGGAAAACTATTACACATTAAAAAAAGGGGCCAAATTAGAAAATCGTAATTCGACTAAGATGAATGATGTATGATGATACCAAAAGAAAAAAGAAAAGACTTGCCAGATATGAAAATCTTCAACGAAATCAGCAAGGATTGCAGCTCCAGAAAAATATTTCTCAAAACAATCAAAGGGGGAACAAAACAGTAAAATCCAAGAGCCAAACAGCAACTCATATATTAACTAATTAAGCCCACATTTTAATATCCACAACATTAACAAACCTTAAAACTTGCTTCAAAAGATTGTATATAAACACACGCACGCACGCACGCACGCACATATATATATATATAGAGAGAGAGAGAGAGAGAAAGAAAGAAAGAGTACCGGCAACAACAGAGATGTCCATGTCTCTGTAGCGATCAACAAAAATGTCGACAACATGCTTGAAGGTCTTGTGATCAAGCAACAACGTTGTTATGTCTTGAAACATTATTCCTGAACACATTCATACATACCCAACACACAAAAACATTAAAATAGTAAACAAATACCCACACAAATCATCAAACTTCACAAAAACACTGACAATTCTACTTAAAAAAAATTAAAATTACCCAACAAAACAAGAAAAGCAAAAAATGGAACCTGGTTTTGGAAAGTGAGGCACAACCCTGATGGCCTCTGATATGGCTTGGAGCCTTGGGTCTCCTTTCAGTCCATTTTCTGCTGCAAACATTCTCTCTCTCTCTCTCTCTGGTTTTTCTTTCTCTTTCTCTCTCCACAAATGCTTGAAGGGAATGAATATTGGTCTTTAGGTTATGAAAAACTTTGGGTTGAAGAATCAATGGGTTTTGGGAGTTTCCCTCCTAAAAACTGACTGAAAACCTTAAATCTATTTGCTTTGTTTCGTCTCTCTCAGCGTGTTGGTGTTGGTGTTGGTTTGTGTTTGGATTAATTGGTGGCTACTGGTTTTTTGTTTCTTCATTTATTATGATGGCCAAACCACAGCACTTCCACTTTGGAAGTTACGTAGGGGAAGTTTGATGCTGACGCAGCTTTCATGCACGTGTGCTCCACGCTGCCTGCCTTTTCCCATAATTTTTCTTCGGAAAAAAAGAAAAGCAAAATCAAGGTCGAAACTTCAATATGTTTTTACCACAAGAAATTTAATTTAAACATCATGCATGTGTTTGGTTTGCCACAACAAATGAAGGGTTGTGTTTGAAAGTGATTTTAAGTTTGTAGTTGATTGTACTCTGAGTCGAGGTTTTATTCTTTATGGTTGAAGTTTATTATTGATGACATGGATTCTTGAAAAAAAAAATTCAATTCAATTAACAAATTTTGCAACATATACTACTAATAATTTTGGTATGCTACTATATGATATCAATGTTATTAAGATTTTTCTTAATAGTAGAACTCTCTATCATCTCATCTATTTGGCATAATTTTCGTGTTAATATTATAAAATAATGTGCTAAAAAGATAAAATGACAAAGAGCTTCATTCTAAATTAATTATGTTGGCTAGAACATTAAAAAGGAAAAATTGATAGGCGAACAAGTATATATAAATTTATAAAGTTGTGTATTAATTCGTGAGGATGGAAACAAAAAGAGAGAACGAGGGAAAAAAGGGAATCACGCGCCACAATTTGAAGTAGGAATACGGGAGAGAGAGAGAGAGAGAGAGAGAGAGAGAGAGGTCTGAGTCTGACTTATGGATGTTATTTCACTGTAGAGTGTATCTAGCTACTTCACCTACGTTTTCCAAATTCAAGAAACGAATGATTTCATGCCTCCATTTTATACTGTATTTGGAACATCAACTGATCTATGTGTGAGTTAGGATAATTTTACAAAGATTATATTTCAATGTAAAATTTTATAAATTAAATGACACGTAAATTAATAATTAAATTATTACGTAGATATTGATAAGCATGTTCATCATTCATATGTGTTATAATATAAGTACATATTATAGAGAATTTCTCTTTACTTATATTTTTAATGTAAAAATATGATTTTTCGTTAAAATAAACAGTACCAAAAACTTTTCGTTAAAATTCATTAAAGAAAAAAATCATTAATGAGGCACACTTAATCTGACGGCCACGATCTTCCTCAAATCCCACCCTCCTCGCCTGTTACTTTGCCCAATTTTTCTTGCATGCACTTTTGTAAACATCGAAGTAGAGGGCATTATCGTCATTCCAAATAAATTGACGGCGATCTATACGCAGAGAATCCAGCTGCAGGAGATTTTGCAGATTTTGGAGGTGGTCCTATGGAGAGATGTTTCAATATGCCCTGAACATGATGTAGTGTATCACGTGTCATTATACGAATAGTAAGATACTTCTGTTAAAAAAGTAACAACATAAAAAATTAAACTCTCCACAACTTATATAATAACACGTGGTATTGTGTAATTTTCTTGATCTTAAGGTGGTCCTGCACCCCCATCATTTTTAACGCATGCTTACTTAGCTTTATCCAATCTAATTATGCCCTACACGTGACATTATCTGCCGAATTATGCACCAACTAGCCCCATAAGCAAGCCACGTCATGAGATAGGGCCAATTTAATCCAGAATTCCAGCCAAGGTTAAAAGGCTAGCTCATCTTATGACCGCAAATGCTAACAGGAAGTGGGGCCAGCCCTTGACAAGAATGTCGGCCACCCAAAACAAGCCAAAAGACTCTTTTTCGATCCGACAGTTTTAATAATTGGACAATTAGTTGATTCAACGTTCCAAATTCAAACCTATTTAATTTTAAATTTAAATTTTTAAATACATTAAATCAAATGACAGAGATCAATTATGATCTATCTAACGGTAAAAAAAATTTAACAGCACAAAATTAAATCTAAATGCTAAAACAATTGAAAACAAATCTTTAAATCAAAAGTCACCCAAAAACTCTATAAATACATGTTTCATGGTATCTGTTTAGTGAATTTTCAACTTTTATTGGAATCTAAATAGTTTTAGGTTGAAATGTTCATATGATAATCTACGTAAATTTTATTATAAAAAAAAGTCATCGAAAAAAAATGTAGCCTAAATTCATTCTTTAATAATCTTGAACTAAAGTTTTAACCTAGAACCATTGAAGACGAAAAATTGTTTCAGGGTTAAGAATTTTAGGTTTTAACCCAAGGGTAGAAGATAGTCTTAGTAAATAGTAATAACCAGAGTGTATCTCCACTCGGCCCACCCCTAAATGAATTATCCAGATAATTGGTATTAAAAAATTATTTTTTATGAAATAATATTTTATGTTTATTATTCGAAACTATAGTTTTTGGGTACAAATTTTTAACCAATCATGTAGCGTCATGTGTCCTAATCTTGTAAGAATTGTGTGGATAGATTTCCGATAAGTTTTTTAACCAATCCTATTGCGCCAAGTATCACTATCTGTTCAGAATTCTTGTGCATAGATGTTCAATAAGATTTTCAACCAATTACGGCGTGCCACTTGACATTATTTACAACCTCATTCTTTTGTTTTCTCCTTATAAACTCTACATCCAACCTAAACTCACATACCAAAATCAAAATATGTTTGAATCCTTCTTATCTTGAGTTCTTACAATGTCTTCTTCAAGGAGATTATTAGAAGTCAAAGAGCAAAAAAATTAGTTGTTTGAAATGGAAGAGCAAGACGATGAAGAACGTAGAAGAGGACATGATGAAGCAAGAAGGAAGAGAGCTGCATATACCCGTCGTGTCATGCAAGCTAGGGCTGTAATCTCCAAACCCAATTGTTCCATGAACCTCAATAGAAAAAGGGAACAACAAGGTAAGAATGTCTTGGAAGATTACTGTGTCCCAAATAGTGTCTACCTTGATGCGTATGTTAGACGTCATTTTAGAATGCAATTGCATTTTTTCAACAAAATCATGATTGCTATTTGCAACCATGATTCATACTTTGTGTAAAAGAATGATGTTTTTCTTGTCAAGGGTCTCCTACCTAAGCAAAAACTTATTGTTGCCCTGCAGATGCTAGCATATGGGGCATCTACATACCAAGTGGATGAGATAGCGAGGATGAGAAATTCAGCGGTTCTAAAGTTCCTTTTGAGGTTTTGCAGTCGAAGTTATCTACACCAATGAGTACCTTCGGCAACCCACGACCACGAACTTGCAAAAGCTTCTGAAGAAGGGACATGATTGGAAGCATCGACTCTATGCACTGATAATGGAAAAACAGTCCCAAGTTCTTGGCAAGGAGAATATGGAGACAGAAAAGAAACCAAAAATATCATTTTGGATTGTGGCATATATGATACGTAGATTTAGCATGCTTTTTTCAATGTTCCAGGAACTCAAAATGCCTCAATGTCCTTGGTCAATTCTCAGTGTCCAACGATGTGCTGCGAGGAAAAGCTCCTCAACTCACATATGCAATCAATGGAACCATGTACTTGGGAGCGTACTATCTAGCAGACAACAAAACCAATGTGAATATCATTTGTCAAAACAATATTCGCGTCCACAAAGTGTAAAGTAAAAGGACTTCGCAAAATGTCAAGAGGCGTGTAAGAAGGATGTGGAGCGCTATTATTGTGTCCTCTAAGCTCGTCCAGCAATTGTTAGAAAGGATGCTAAAAACGAAAACTATCAGTTTCCGGAGGGACCAACCATTGTACTTCTAGGGGAAGGTCTTAATGACCAGTAGTTTGAAGCTTTAAGCAACCAGGTTTTTTTCGCAAGGGGTTGTGATTCTAGCAAAAGGCGATCGGTCAGGGAAAAGGGACAGGGAAAAAGTAAAGAAAATTTGACACTTGATTCTTGACCACAAGATCTTACCCTAACGGTCAAGATTAGTTGAACCTTAAGATCGGTAGGGAATTGCTCCGGTGATGATGTCTGAAAACCTTAACATGAAATGAAATCCTTTTGGGATTGGGGACCTACAAGTGGTAGGGCATGATTTTGTTTATAATTAACTAACTACGTGGACATGGTACCATGAGGTTATGATGATGATTTTGTTTAGGAGGAGGATTCTCTTTTCTTTTATTCTCATTCCCTTCCTTCCCCTCCTTTCACATATTATTTTTTATCTTATTGTCTCTATAAACAAATCAATATAAAATTTTGACATGACTAAACCGTAATCGTTCAAATAGAATGGGAGGGAAGGGAGAGAGTTTAGGAGGGGAGAGAATCCTCCTCCTATCTTTATGGTGTCACATCTTGTTAATACGTAACCTCAACCAAATCTTCAACCTTAGTTATAGTAAAATATCAACTAGATTAAGATACTTAACAGCTGTTTATTTCACTCTTACCTATAAAAAAAACACGTCCTTTGTTTGTTCGTATGAAATTAAGGGGGAGTTTATGGTTGAACTATAATGAATATTTAAGAGAAATGATAATTACAATATCTTTTTTTAGTATTTCAGACACTCTTGTTTATTTCTGATCATTATTTCTATTTGATTTATTCAACTTGATAGTAAAAAATTAAGAGGCGGGTATTAAAAGAACACCTCTCTTTTTTAAAAGGAGAAACAAAAAAACTATGTCCAACTATATAAGATAAAACATAAATTAATTATTTAAAAAATATTGTCCAATTGTTTAAGGTAAAAGTAAAATAAAAATAAATAGATAAATTTCATTCATGTGCTTCATTCCCTCCTAATTCCCTTAGTATGCCAAAAACATTCACTTCTAACTTCATTACACCATTGAATATAGTAGGTTATTTAATCCAATTTAGTCCTCGACGAACAAGGCCCACTGAATATGTGATCATCCACCAAGCATATTCTAAAATTTATAATCAGCAAGTTGAGTAAGTCACATCACACACCTAGTCTAGACTCCTAGCTAACAAAAAAAATGATCATTTCTTGTTTAGATCTCACATCAAACAAATCCCACTTGGTAATAGATTTTTTTCCTTTCATTTTCATTGCATCATTGAGTACAATTTAGG